ACTTCTACAGAAGGAGAAAAAAAGTATGTGTTTGCCTGTGTTATTACACATTCAATGAACTCATCACTGACTCCTCCAATTATCCTGATTCCAGAAGATTAAAGCTTGCCCATTTAAACAATTTCAATCCAGTCTTCCAAAACATAAAGTTGTTTCCCCGAGAGGCGAGAGCAATGGCCGGGGAATAATAAATATAAGTTTCAATCACGTTCTTGAAACCCTAGAATCAATCAACTAGGTAACCAATTCAAAGCGACACATGCGCGGGGAAAGTCGAGCAATTGAAAGGATAATGAGAAGGCACAAGTCCAGGAGAATAATCAGGGGAATAAAAAAAAGTTAGGGATTTTGTATGAGAGGTGCTTCATCTACGGCACCAGAGACAGTCGGGATCATGAAATCCCTCCGGGACCCGACAGCACCTGCACGGAATTGGCGATCGAGATTGCTCTAGACGATTGAGTACTTCAAGACAAGGTCCAGCCAGTACAGCTCACATATACGAACTAAAGAGACAGCCGGATGGAGGATTCCCTGTTCCTATTTTGACGAAATCGATGGCTGAAGACGGGGAACCCAGCTCCCGATTGACCAGTGATGCTCGAGTTTTTGCAAAGGAGATTTGGCGATTGGGGATCTAAAGTCTATGACGGCCGATCTGAATCAGGGGAGAAAGATAGTTCAAGGAACATAGGATTTACAAGTAAAAACCTTACTCTCACCTCTGCTGAAAAAGATGAAGGAGATGGAGATGAGATGAATGAAGATAGAATAACGACAAACTGAGTTCTAAATTGTAGTCGTAGGAGCAGACGAGCAGTGGTTGTAGTTGTAGATAATTCTAAAGTTTAGGTGTTATAAACTAACTAGCTTGTACCCGGTCCGTTGGCAGGGTAAATTTTGTTTGAAATATGTTTTATGGAATATTTTTTCTCCTACATTGTCTATTTTGTTCAGGCTATCATTGCCGTCTCTCATCCCGAATCATGTGTACCTTTGAGCTTGATCAGTTGGCCGGAAGTGATTTTTCTTTAACGTAATTTAGTTTGTACCACACGACAATATTTTAACACCCATGAAATTGTTGTGCATTACTATCATGATAGTACAAAATTAAACATTGATATAATTTAGTAACTCATTAGAATAAGAAATTTGTTTTGTGATCTATGGTAGTATATACTTTATGACGGTAGAATCGAATGACATTGATTGTGATAATGTTTTTGAAAGAAAAAAAAATTCAACTTATTTCAAAATAGGTATTATTGAGTAGATCACATAAAATCTGATTTTTTTGCGCAACAATATTTAAATTCGGAGTTGAAGCGGAAAAAATATGGATCGAATAAGAATAGTATGGTGATTGAAAAATAAGAGAGAGAGTGTGTGTTAAGTGGCACAATCTAATTGGAGTACAGAATAACTACAAAGAAAAATTATAATGAAAAGAAAAAAAGAAGTTACGAAAATATCTGATTGGTTGAAAGGGAAGTTAAGAAAAAATCTGATTGGTGGAATGGGTGCTGATGTGGATGCGTAGGAGGGCTGGATTTTTGAAACGGTAAAGGTGGTTATTGGAAAAGTCTTTATATATTTTATAGATGATTTGGAGAAAAGAGTACTATGATTCATATAATTACAAGTTAAAGGATTAATTTGAGCGTAATGCACGATAAAAATTGATATGAGACTAAAATGTATACAAGAATAATTGAGTGAGTATGATTGTAATTATATCTATTACTAATAATTAATTGATTATAATTAAATTAAAAATAATTAATAATGAATTAATAGGTGTGAACACAGGCGTACGCCATACACCAGGTGTACGCTAGCCTTTGCTATATATATATGGTTCAGGCTAGCGTACACCTGACGTACACTGTATGTCTGTGTTCACACTTGTTATTATTTTTAATTAATTATAATTTAAACAATAATTGACAAAATAAAATTGTGATAAAATCTATGGATTTAATTTTCGATACAATTTAGTCCCAAATATTCTTTACCATCGTAAGAATGTGGGCTTTGCTATTTTGGCTTCAAGTTTGTTCAAAGTGGGCCAATAAGCCCATTATAGTTAAACGATCAAAGCTTAATTAGCAAGACTAGTTTCATCGTCTTCTTCCCAGTTGACGCAACAAGTTCTGAAACCTAGAGAGTAGAGAGAGAAACTTTCATTTATGAAATACAAAGTATGAAATTAAACAAAATTGACGTAATGTATCCATCCTCAATCTTCTCTACTCTCGTTCCTTCAGGACTCGAGAGTCCAAAACCTCAGATACTTGAACTCCAAATCCAAGCCATTCTTCATTTTCATCCTTCCGACGAGAACTAAATCCAACCTGCGCGATTCTGCAGCAAGGAATATAGGATTCGGATAAGAGTCCGCAGCTGCGCCCACCATTACACAGGAATTTCGTCACGAAAGAGACGTCGTTGGTTCAAAGCATGATGCTGGCTTGGAGAGCTTAAACTATGTGATTGCAAAACAGAGTACCCACCTAGCATTCACGGCAGCCTCTACCTCACGCTGCCAGTTAGTGAACACTTTGGCAACGGCGGGTTTTCGGGTCTCTGGTCAGAAAGTACAATCGATTGTTGCTGCATGGATGTTCACAGCATGATTGTGAATAGAAAGGCAGCGATGAAAGAGGTTTTCTAGGCGATTAAAGGCGGAGGATCAGGGAGCTTTGGGATTGTATCGTAGAAGGTGAAACTAATCAAACATTCTCATGAATTGAAATTCTTTATTGTTTCCCCATCGAACAGGTAGTCACATATCATACCCATCTATTTGGGGCAAACCTACCTCCGGCGACCACCACAAACAGGACGAGCAAGACGTGGAGAGTGGCGGCACCGCAACGTCAAAATGAACAATCAACACCAGAATGTGCTTTCTTATAGTTAAGATCATCGGCGGTGACTGGCGGCCTAGGAGGATTGTCAGTCGTGGGAAAGCCTGGTGTACATTGACTTCTTCTTGTTTTTGGGGCAACAGTGGAGATTTAGGTGGACTAAAACTTAAACAACAATTAGTTAATGGATGTGGTTGTAATGCGAATTATTATTAATAACTAATGTACTAATAATTAAAGTTAAATATTTAAATAATTAATTTTTTAGTGTGAACACAGACGTATAAGGTACAACAGGTGTACGCTAGTCTTTGCCATATATATATATATATATATATATATATATATATATGGCGAGTTCTACGGTACCCTGGGTGAAATCCGGGGTACCGCATACCTTGAGTATGAAAACACTATCTAGACCTTGAATTGACCGATCTTTCGGACATGATACTATACTCTAACACTTAAAGATCAAAATCTAGGTGTTAACTCTCCTAATCTTATACTCCAAGATTAATTTAATTAGAAACAATAATCGACGGTTATGATTCATCCAAATATAGGCACAAAAAGGAATGCACCATCTTAGGGTTTATAGATTATGATTTAGATAATTATGACCTACGGTTCACTCATTAAGGGTTAGGGTATAATATTAGACACAAAAATCCTGGTAATTCAAGGTCTAGATAGAGTTTCCATACTCGAGGTATGCGGTACCCTGGATTTCACCCGGGGTACCATAGAAGCCACCATATATATATATATATATATATATATATATATATATATATATATATGGGGAGTTCTACGGTACCCATGGTAAAATCCGGGGTACCGCATACTTTGAGTAAGAAAATACAATTTAGAATTTGAATTGACTGATCTTTCGGACATGATACTATACTCGAACACTTAAAGATCAAAATCTAGGTCTTAATTCTCTAAATCTTATACCCCAGGATCAATTTAATTAGAAACAATAATCGACGGTTATGATTCGTCCAAATATAGGGGGAAAATTCAATGCACCATCTTAGGGTTTATAGTTTATGATTTAGATAATTAGGACCTAGGGTTCACTCATTAGGGTTAGGGTATAGTATCATGCCCAAAAATCCTGCTAATTCGAGGTTTAGATAGCATTTTCATACTTAAGGTATGCGGTACCCCAGATTTCACCCTGGGTACCGTAGAAGGCACCATATATATATATATATATATAGGGTCAGACTGACGTACGTCAGGCGTATACTATACGTCAGATACTACTAGTGAGATATCTCTATCTAGACCATGAACTAAATCGAGTTTGGGGTATGATACTATACCCTAACCTCTAATGGATAAACCCCAGGCACCCATTTTCTAAACCCTAACCCAAAGTTTGATTAAATGAAAAACAAAAATTGACCGTTGAGATCGGCCGGAGCTCATCTAATTACATCTAACGGCTAGATCACCTGACGTATACTATACGCCTGACGTACACCAGTATTCACCATATATATATATATGTCAGACTGATGCACCTCTTTGGAGTATGCTATACTCCAAGTACTCCTCGTCAAATATTTCTATTTAGACCATGAATTAAACTAAGTCTGTGAGTATGATACTATACCCTAACCTCTAATGGAATAATGGATAACCCATGCATGCCTCGATTCTCTAAACCCAAATCCAAGTTCAATTTAATATAAAACATTAATTAACCACTTAAATTGGTCAGAGCTAATCGAAACACATCTAACGGCCGGACACCTGAAATATACTATATTCATGGAGTGTATACCAATCATTGGTTCAACATATTAGACCCAGGATTTCAATATTGGATGTTGAATGATGTTATGAGGATTGCCTAAACCCAAACTCATTTAATTTAAGTATCAGCTAGACCACCCTTTAGCGCCCCATTTTCAACCAAAAAAAATACTTAAACATCTGTAGGACCAGAACTTTTCATTTATACACATCTAGAACCAGATATCTATAAATTTGCTAATTTTAATGGTTAACCATCCATTCATATCCTTCATATTTTTTATATAGTCCCACCAACGTGGTTCATCAACTTTGGCCTCTCCTTTCCATCCCTCGAGCCCCCCCCCCCCCCCCCCCCCCCATTTATAAAACGTGAAGAAATTGATCACACCCCCCATTCCCACATCTACTCTCCCTTCTCTCCTCACTTTCCGTCCACCTAGCTATCTCTCCGGCCACCGACGAGATCTCCTCCTGACGATAACAAGGTCTCGAGTTTAAATCCTCCCGTCGTCAACTGCTAGCTAGCCTATGCTAGAACACAAGATGGAACCTCTGACTTTGTTCATCGGAATCATAGGGAATGTCATCTCAGTGCTCATGTTCCTCTCCCCAGCGTAAACACTCAACTGATCTCTCTTTCTCATTCTTCCCATCTTAGACCTTCATTTCGTCTAACTTGGTGTGGCGTTTGGGGCAGGGGGACGTTTTGGAGAATAGTGAAGAACCGTTCCACAGAAGATTTCGAGAGCCTGCCTTACATCTGCACGCTGCTGAATGCTTCCTTGTGGACGTATTACGGCATCATCAAGCCCGGAGCTTACCTGGTCGCCACCGTCAATGGCTTCGGCATCGTCGTCGAGATCGCCTACGTGGCACTCTTCCTCGCTTACGCGCCCCGCAAAATGAAGGTGCGGATTTCGTTTTTTGTAAGAGAGTGGTATGAGATTCAGGAACAACTCGAGTATTGGGATGAGTTGATGTTACGACTGTTTTCTACGGATCGTGAGAAATCGGAGGATTCGACAAAGCAAGAAAACGAAAACAGAAAGCACACGATACACGATTTATGTGGTTTACTAACATAATGTGTGTTAGCTAGTCCACGGGCAGGAAAGAGCCAGTTTCACTATACTTCGAGGAGATTACAGATGACAAAAAATAGTATGAGAAGTATTTATATTGCTTCTTCTGGATCTAACCCTAATCCAATCTAGTAAAGAAAAAGCGATTACAGATCAGACCCAAAATCTGAACTCAAATAACATTGAACCTATATACCGCAGGTCGGAGTGTTGCTCCTGCACCTCACTCGCTGATCGGACAGTGATACCCCGTGATATGATATTAGGTTTGAATCGCGTTGTTTGGTGTTGCAGGTGAAGACCGGATCCCTGGTGGGGGTTCTGAACGTAGGGTTTCTAGCAGCAGCAATGGTGGTTACGTGGCTTGCGTTGGAAGGAGAAGGCAGAATCGATGCCATTGGGTTCATTAGCTCCGTCTTGAACATCGTCATGTACGGCTCACCTTTGGCTGCCATGGTAATTATTTTTTTTAACTCATCATCTAATTACTGATCCTACTATTTACTTACTTAAGAATCGATGTCGTATATGTGACCTTAAGTCTTTTTTTTTATATAGTTATTGATCACCTGAGTGTGATCTAAGTTTCCAGTTATCATTTAATGCAAGTGGTAGGAGGAAATTAAATTAATTACTTAATTAAGTTTCGTGGGGGAGAACCAACCAATTCATTTTTCTAGTTGACATGACAAAAACACGATAGGTTAACGTATTAACAAATCACGGAAGGGTGGCTTAAGTGCTAAAACACGGACCCAATGTGTTTTCATAATAGATTTACCAAGTCTATAAGAAGTTGAACCACCTCAATTTTATGAGTATTTTTAAGATTTAAGATAATTTTGAATGTATACTCAATGATCTTCGTCGTTGAACAAATTTATGCTAATTAACATGTCAAATTTTAATTAGAAATGAGGTTATGTGCTCTGATGTATACTGGCAACTTTCTTTTAAAAAAATATATATGAATGATATGTCATTATACTCTAAATATTTATCCTTTTCTTGCCTTTGATAGCTTCTTTTGCTTGCCTAACAATTAAACTATATACTAAGGGATGGATATGACAAATTACAAAGCTCAGATGTGCACGAAATTGTTCATTTACACTAATACGAAACCTTATATATGTTCATGATAATTATTTTTTAATGAAATATCATTTATGTCCCACGCTCTCTTATTTTATTTCATTTTTGTCTTTTCTCCATCCCCAATTCAAGCATTAATGAGTCCCCATATGGCATTCTGACATTATCATGAAATCATGATCGACAAGATCTAATATATGATTGCCTATATAAATAAATAAATAAATTATGAATGTGTATAAAGTTATATTATAGAGAAGAAAACAAAAAAAGGTTATTCATTTATTTTCCCGTAACTAATAGGGGGAAAATATCTTATTGAATATAGTTTCCTGTAGTTAATTACTTATTTATATGGTATTTCAATTTTATTATATATATTTATTTATTTATTTATTTATAACTGGACAGAAAACAGTGGTGACAAGCAAAAGTGTGGAGTACATGCCCTTCTTGCTCTCCTTCTTCCTCTTCTTGAATGGTGGGATTTGGACATTCTATGCCTTCCTCACCAAAGATCTCTTCCTTGGGGTAAGTAGTCCCTTTTCTTTACCATTTACAACACACAAGAACACTCCATCGAATTGTTTTCTATAAGTGATATAGTACACATCTCAACACATAAACAAGTACGAAATTTAGACAAATTTGATATATAGCTCTTGTTAAAATATTAGTAGCTAATAAAGATATTAGACGATTCTTCATCGTGACACTGTCAAATATTTTATTACCATGCTAAATTCAAGTACTCACTGTGCCAACATTAAAGCATAAGAAATTTGTAAAGACGTCGGAGAAAAATGACAACTGACGAGTTTTCTCTCTTTTTTTTTGTTACCTTTTTGGTTGTCCTTTCACTATGTGCATGAACTTCTTTTTCACTAATATATAGCTAGTTAGGTTCACTTCATTATAGCGTCAATTATCACATTTATGATTTCACAATCGTTATCATCTATTTGGAATGTAAAAGGAGAGGCTGAAATTAAATATCTTGAATAGACCTAAGTTATGATGCTCTCAAACATTTGGTATCGTCGGATCGATCACGAACGCGTCTCATTCGTCAAATCAAAGCGATGCTAATTTTATAAATGGTCAAATCAATTAGCCAAACCAAACTAGTCGAACCATAAGTAATCAAATACAATTGATTGATGTAACAATGTGATACACGATACATCACTTGCGTATGCTAATAATGACGTGGCATTTTTGTCTTCGAAATATACAAAAGTGTGTATCGTTCAATTGAAAAAAAAAAAAATTGTCCCTCCTACTACAATCACTTTCATTGCAACATTTTTAAAATGAAGAGAGAGTCAATTCTTAAAACTCCAGCATACAACATTCCAGATAGATATATAACTACACATACCACATGCATCATCGATTACCACTTTACCGGTTTATTTCAACAGAATTTTCGACAATGTATTTTATATCATTGTCTTATACTCAATTAGTCATATCCTCTTCATTGTTAATTAGATAGAGTATGACCTAATATATATATGCAGGTCCCCAATGGAACAGGGTTCTTGCTTGGAGCTGCACAACTCATCATTTTCGCCATCTTCAGAAACGCCAAGCCATCCACCACTACTGCTCTTAGGAAAACTAGTACTAGCTATGGAACCCTAGAAGAGGGAGTGCATATTGAGCCCTTAATTTCCACACCCGACCAAGAAATTCGACAATTCGTTGATTAGTCAGTTATTATGAATGAATGGACGTGTGTGACCGTGTGTATTTTTTAAGAATGAAATATACAAGGGTTCAACAATTTTTATGCATAATATTCTCCAATTGACAACACTTGAAAATATTAGTGAATTATAAGCTCTCAATATTTTTTTTTTCCAAATGATCATCAATATTAGAGAAACCTCCACTAAAAATAGATTAACATTATTGACATATTTTGTTGCAATTAACTTGAATTGGTATTACTTAATACTTAAACCGTAAATCCAATAAATTTGGAAAAGTGGTATGATAAAAATAGGTGGTTTATATGTTCATAAATTTTAATTATCCTATTTACATTCTATATGAGTTGATAGGTGTGGTGATTAATTATATGTTCTTCCCCTCTAAACCTCTCCATTCCATATTGCATTGATATTATATTGACGATGGAGCACAAACTATGCCAGTGCAGGCCTTGCCTATGCAATCGTCTATATGATTTTGACGAACAGGATGTAACATGGTAGCCAAATCTTGTCTTTGACTGTCAGCTTAATCTATAGGTAGAAAGCTTTATGATGGGAAACTACCACGTCATATTTGGAGAGATATGAGACCAGTTACCAAACAATATTCACATGATTAGACGACTTAGTCCTTTTATTGCACCAAGTCAAGTGAATCATGCCCATTTGGCCGTAAATGAAATTTTGTTTACCAGTTAGTCTAGTTAATGGAATCTATTATCAAATTAGGCTAGTTAAACCAAACGTGTTAAGAATATTTATAGAATCAAACTAATTAGTCAAATTACACTACAAAATTAGGAAGGATTGGGGACAATCATAAGAGGACGACTATGTAATTTGTCTCAAGAAATATAGTTTTAAGTGAGATAAGAGACAACCGTGTAAAATTGTCCCCATATAATAATCAAACAACATTAAATTAAATTTAAAATTTCATTGTTCGTCCCCCAAAAGAAATGGTTTGAGAGAAATAGAAGATTATGGTGGATTTCCATTATCACAATAAAAGATTGCGTAATTATTTTTTTAACGGTTGATTCCTTTGATTCTAAAATCAATTTGCAGAGCGGAAAGTTTCAAAGTTACACCAAAGATTTTGGATTCTCCCGGAGATAATGGGAAACTATCTCTGCATAATGGGAAACTCTTTTTGGGGACATTCCTATCATTCCAATTTTTTTGCCTTATATTATTTCTGGGAATAGTGCAGAGCTTCTAATACTAAACCCTACCATTCCCTCTGCCTTCTCTTCTTTTTCTTCTTCACTTGTGCTGTCCTTACGGCAGCCTATGCACCTCCTAAAGGTCTCTTTCCTCTACTTTTGCTTACTATCTATTGTGCTCACTGCTCTGAACACTTTTTATCTTAGCATTTTACGTGTTAGCAAATCTTGCAGGACACAGAAGTCATAATCATCATCAACTTCTACTTCCTCGCCATCTTGGGAAGAGCTCCAAAACTGCAATGCCACGAGGCATGCTTCAGATGATCACCAAGGTCGGACTAACTCTTAAGCTTACTAAATGGATCGAATTTAACAACTTGTTGTTGATGATTTTGTTTTGTGGATAAGTGCTGATGATAATTTGGGACGAAAAAGAACTGTTTTCAGGAAGGGAAGAAAGGAAGAAGTAGGATCGATTGCGCCAATCTGTACATACCAAGAAGGCAGGGCAGGGCAGGGCAATTGCAATTCTATTCTATTTCTTCCAAAAGTTGTAATTTTTCTTTTTATGTTTTATTATCTATACAGAATAATACATATGATCTTCCGTGTATCTATATACACAAAATAATATATATGAAGATCACACGGAGTAAGGAACTTCCGTTTATCTATATATATCTTCACAAAATAATAAATAAATTGTGGAGAAAACCAATTTGGCTTGCATATAAAATTTAGCTAAAAATTATGACGATTGTTGTTCCTAAAAATTCGCATAGGTGAAAAGAAAAGGGGACAATATTTTATCCCTAGAAACAATAATTAGGGGACGACATTTTATCTTCACAAAATAATAATCAGGGCAATTGCAATTCCTATAAAAAGAAAAGGGGACAACATTTTATCCCTAGAAACAATGTTTAGGGGACGATTTATTGTCGCCAAAATCATGGCTATAGGGACGACGTATTGTCTTTAATGGACAAAATAAAGATGACAACTTCTAAGTATTGGGGACGAGTGTCGTCCCTAATATTGGGGACGACCTAGATTTTTGTCGTCCCCAAAAGAATAGAGGACAAGTGTATAAGGAACAAAACATTAGGGACGACTAAGTTGTCCCCAAAAACTATGGGGACGATTTTGTCTATTTCCGGGGACGACTTTTGTAGTCTCCAAAACTCCTCTTTTTTGTAGTGTTAATTGAATCACAATTGATCAAACAGAGGTGATTGAACTAGTCCTTTTATCCACTCCTTCTTCCTCTAACTTTTATATTTCCTCTATTTTTATACACCTAAATGTATTTTCTTTACAATAAAAGCATATATATAAAAAATGTTTGGAACTTTATTATATTATATATATCGTGTTGATAAAACCTCTAAATCATGTTCAAGATATAAGAAGTAGAAATCACAAAATCAGTACTCACTAGAAAACCCAAACCTTAATACTGAGCCAGAAAAAGAAAGGAGCAAAAATACGAGAGAGAAGTTAGAGAGAGGTTTGAAAAATTTTCCTCTGTCCTCTGTCCTAGTTTTCCCCCCTTTCTAACCATTGGAGCCAAGTCTCCGACGGATGAATCCACCGTCCGATGCAGAGAACCGCCGGATTCTCCTGCGGGATCGCCTGCCCAACCAACCAAAAAATCCAAATCAACTGCCAGCGACGGATTCACTGGTCAGGGGGAAATGGAAGTGACAGTGGTGACTGCGACTGCCGATCCTGAGAACTCCGACGAAGATGTGGTCATGAAAGGCACTGAGGGTGCAGCAGAGAAAGGAAACAAGGAGGAGGAGAACCCCCAGAAGGGAGCGCAACCGTCATACAAGGACAGGATGTTGGGCAATGGGCCGCCGATCACAATCCCAGAAGGGGATGATCTCATGTCCGACGAGTCAGACGATGAGAATGCTGAGGACGACTCGGAGTGCCCCACAATCAGAATCAAGAAAAGGACGGATGCTAAAATTCGCCAAAAATTTCAGAGGGCTATCACATTTCGTGTCTTAGGAAGAAACTTCCCGTTCATGTTTGTGCAGCGCAGAACTCAAAAGCTCTGGGCCAGAACAGGGGGCGTTAACATTAGCGATGTGGGTAACGGCTACTTCCAGGCAGCCTTTGATTCCCAGTTGGATCGTGATAGAGCGCTCTACGGAGGGCCGTGTACGATCGAAGATTTCTACATCGTCTCGGAGCCATGGCCAATTGACTTCGAACCCGACTTCGACACGATTGACAGAACCGCAGTTTGGGTTCGACTGCCGCGACTCCCGCTGGCCTACTTCGACCACGGGATCCTCACTGACATCGAAAACAAGATTGGAAGAATTGAAAAGATCGACTTCAACACTGCGAATGGAGTGAGGGGAAACTATGCCAGGATTTGTGTCGAGATCGATCTCCGCAAGAAGCTTGTCTCAAAATACAGAATTAAAAGAAGGGTCAGGAGAATCGAGTATGAAGGTCTACACACGGTCTGCTTCTTCTGTGGAAAGTTTGGGCACTTGGAAGCGGACTGCTCGGAGAATTAAACACGGGTGACGAAGCAAACTGAAAATACAGAAAAGATGGGAAAGAGTCAAGAGATCAGCCCAGAGATAGTTGAAGATTTCAGGCCATGGATGCTTGCCACAAGGACCAGAAGGAAGAAACCACCACAACAAAAAGGTAATCAATTTAAAGAAGGGAAAGGGGAAGGAAGCCAACAGAAAGACCCAATGGGGACAGGCTCGCGGTTCAGTTCACTAATGGAGGAGGAAAGGGAGGATGCAGAGTCCAAAGAAGAAGAAGCAGACAAACCCAGAGAAGATGCCAGCCAGAATTAGAATGAGGCTGAGCAAGCCCCCAGCTCCCTCACACAGAAAGATAACAAGACACAACAATCGAAAGAAAACCCAAGGGAAAAAGAGAAGAAAGGGAAAGAAAGAGTGAAAACTGTCCAACAACAAAAAAACACCGGCAGAAGGCAAGCAAAAACAGATGATTGGTACAAAGAAGGAAAACCAAAAGGACTCACCAGACGCTACCAAGCTGACTTCGTCCACTAAACCTACCTTGTCCCAAACCCAGGAACCTGCGACCGGCATACTTGGGCTGAAAAAAGGTGTCGGAGAGAAGATCAAGAAAGGAGCAACGACCACCCCACCAAAACAAGAAACAAGAATTGCAACCACTCCCACAGGTAAGGTTGAGTACAAGCAGAAGAAACCCCCTAATGAGAGCAACAAAGGCAACCGACCGATCCAGGGCAGCGCAATTGAGAGCTCGAAAGAAGGAAACTTCCCTCCCAGGAAGATCTCTTTTGGCCAAGATAATGAGATACACGAAGAGCAGAGGAGCAAAAATGAGAATTCATCGGCCAGGACTGAGAGCAGGAAAGAAAATGGTGAGACGGCTATGGCCGTCGATGCCAGATAAATTCCCACTCCTGGGGTGCTTCATGAGAATCATCTTCTTCTTTCGTGATGATTAAGATCCTCTCTTGGAACTGTAGGGGTGCAAAGCACCAGAAGTTTAAGTCTACTCTTGACTTGTACAAAGCGTTGAATTCTTCTAATGTGGTCTGCATCCTGGAACCACGTATTAGCGGGAAAGAAGCAATTGATGTGATCAAAACACTCGGTTTTGACTCCTGGGAAATTTCGGATGTGTCTGGCTTCAGCGGTGGAATCTGGGTACTATGGGACAGCCAGCAACTCTCCCTGGAGCTCATTGACTGCAACAAACAGTTCATCCATCTCCGCTATCGAAGTGGAAACACTGAGAAGGGGGTGATCACGGTGGTGTATGCCAGCCCAAACGAGCAAGATCGCAAGGAATTGTGGCATCATCTCAAGAGTATAGGCAGAAGAACCTCAATACCGTGGCTGCTTATCGGTGACTTCAACTCATTAACAGGGTCGTCTGAGAAGATGGGGGGAGCACCGTTCAGCCAGGCCAAAACTAAGGACTTTAATGAGTGTATCAGTGAGTGTGGCCTCATTGACCTGGGATTCTCAGGACCGAAGTTTACGTGGTTTACCAAGATGTCAAGAATTAGAGAAAAGCTTGATAGAAGCCTCTGCAACCTGGAGTGGATGCAGAAATTTCCTTCATCTTCTACCTTGCATCTGATCATCGCCCAATTCTCACCAGCAACCAAAAGCAGTATGAAATAAAACGGGTGAGACGCTACCAATTCTTGGCTCCTTGGATTGCTCACCCTGGTTCTTCCCTTTCCTTTCGCTTTCATGGAACTGTTTCTATGATTTTCCTTCTTCCTTGCAGGCACTCTCTGAGAAGCTCCAAGATTGGAACAAGGAGATCTTTGGCAATATTTTCAAAAGAAAAAGACAGCTTGTTAACCGCCTCCAAAAGATTGAGCAGTTCAATGAAACCTCGCAGAGCAGAAGTTCTCTTGAAATGGAACAAAAAATCAGGGAAGAGTTTGAGGAAACCCTGTGTCAGGCGGAAATTTTGTGGATTCAGAAATCACGGGCAAATTGGTTCCTCTTTGGGGATCAGAACACCCGCTTCTTCCATACTAGCACAATGACCAGGGTGAGAAGGAATAGGATCTCTTGCCTCAAAGCAGAAGATGGGAGATGGATTACTGATCCTGATACCCTCCTAGAAATGGCTAGGGAGTTCTATCTCAAGCTGTTCACTGCGAATGATTATCAGCCCAGCTGTGTTATCCCAAACCTGTTCCCTAAGATCAGCCAAAGATTGCTTTCTACTATCAGCCTTCTACCCTCGAACGAGGAGATCAGAGAAACTATCAATGACATGAATGGGTTGAAGGCCCCTGGAAAAGATGGCTTTCATGCCCACTTCTTCTAGAGATGTTGGAAAACTATTGGAAATGACTTTTGCAGGTTCATCCAAGATTTCTTTGCCAACCATAGTAGAATCAGATCTATCAATGAAACCCTACTGGTCCTCATTCCTAAGAAGGATTCTCCAACCTCCATGGCCGAGTTCAGACCTATCAGCCTTTGCAATGTTGGATATAAGGCTGTGGCTAAGTGTCTGGCTAACAGAATAAAAGGATTTATGCCCATGTTGGTAAAGCAGAACCAGACCAGCTTCGTCCCAAAGCGGCACATATCTAACAACATTCTGATTTTGCATGAAACAGTGCATACCATGGCCAGGAAATCTGGAAAAAAAGGGAATGATGCTCCTCAAGATTGATCTTGCAAAAGCTTATGACCGTATCTCATGGAGTTTCCTTGAACAAACTCTGATCCTGGCAGGGTTCCCTAACAGTTTTGTCTCGATTGTTATGCAATGTGTTACTTCTACACAGCTGCAGGTGCTTTGGAATGGTGCTGAAACTGACAGTTTCTCGCCTAGCAGGGGACTTTGCCAAGGATGCCCTTTGTCACCGTATCTATTCACCCTTTGCATTGAGAGATTGAGCCACTGTATTGGGCATGTTGTGTTGGATGGGAATTGAAAACCACTCTCCCTGTCCCCAGGAGGACCCTCTCTCTCCCACTTGTTATTCGCTAACGACCTTGTGCTCTTTGCAGAAGCCAACCCGAACCAGGTAGAAGTGGTGATGAGTTGCGTGGAGAACTTCTGCTCAGCCTCAGGAGAGCTCATCAGCAAAGACAAGTCAAGAGTATTGTTTTCCAGAAACACTAAAACTGCAAACGGAAGAGAAATCAGCTACAGACTGGGAATTCAAGAAACGGACGATCTGGGGAAGTACCTAGGGGTGCCTGTTCTTCATGGAAGAATCACAAAGGGAACCTACAAGTATATCCTGGGAAAAATGGACAAAAAATTGTCAAGCTGGAAGGCCAGGACCCTCTCTCTTGCTGGAAGGGTCACCCTTGCACTCTTTGTTTTAAATGCACTTCCTACTTATGCTATGCAAACTACTATGCTCCATGTTTCCATCTGTGATGAGATTGATCGCAGGATTAGGTGGTTTGTTTTGGGGCTCTCAGGAGGGGAAGAGGAAAGTCCATCAGGTGTCGTGGGACAAAATCTGCAGCCCAAAGCATCAAGGAGGTCTTGGACTAAGGACTGCCAGAAGCTTGAACCTTGCCTTCATGATCAAACTCGCCTGGAAGATCCTCAATAACAAGGATGAGCTCTGGGTGAAGGTGCTGCAGGGGAAGTACTTCCACCAGCGTGAGGGAAGGATTTTGGGGATGAAAAGCAGCAACCACTCCAGCCTGTGGAGGGGGATATGCAAAGGTTTCCCCATGATGCAACAAGCAACAGTTTGGAGTATAAGAGATGGAAGAACGACAGAGTTCTGGAATCACCCTTGGATCGATCACGAAACTATTCTGGGGGAGCACTGCCTTAGAGAGTTGACAGAGGAGGAACGTTATATGACGGTTTCTGAGATGGCTAATGATCGAGGTGAGTGGGATTGGAGTAGGCTCCATGATGTCCTGCCTAATGAATTTATCTGCTGCATTGCAGGAATGGAAACACCAGCGCAGGACTTGGGAGAAGACACCACGATTTGGGGCCTGGAGAGTGATGGAAGGTTCATATTCAAATCTGCCTACCTCCTTGCAGCGAACGAGATTGGAAAGGAAGCTCTACCTGACTGGAAGGAGCTGTGGCGATGGAAGGGTCCAAGCAGAGTGAAACATTTCCTATGGCTGGTTCTGTATAACAGACTTCTCACTAATCACGAAAGAGCCAAGAGGAACATGACAGCTGATTCTTTCTGCAAAGCCTGTGAGGGTGAGGTTGAGACAACCGAACACATTATAAGGCACTACAAGAAGACAGAAGGAGCTAGGCGCTTTTTGCAGATTGGACATCAACCATAGGACTTGAGAATCTTCAAGCAGTGGATGATGGACAATCTCAAGAAAGAGGAAGGAGGAATCGAGTTCGGGATAGCCTGCTGGATGATCTGGAAACAAAGAAACGAAGAAGTAATGGAAGGGAAGAAGTATTCTGAAGCAGCCCTTATTTGCAGGATCTGTTCATGGGTCAATGTCTATCAACAGGCGAACAAAAACGATGCAAAATGCCTCCTGCAACCTCAGACTCAGCACAACTCTACTGCCATTGCTTGGAAGCCACCTCGCGAGGGCTGGCTCATCCGAGACCACTTGGGGTGATGCCTTGACGCGTTCGTCTGCAACTTGGGGAGCTGTACGATCACCATGGCAGAGCTAAAAGGAGCATAGATTGGCCTCCTTCGAGCTTGGGAAAAAGGCTTCCGAAGAGTGGAGCTCAAGCTCTTCGACTGCTATCAGCATCATTAAGAACTACAAAGATATAGACCATAGACATGGTTTGATTGCGGCTAGGATTGGTAGACCTTTTAATTTTGATTGGGAAGTGAAATTGTCCCATGTTTATAGAGAAGGCAATTTCGCAGCCGATTACTTGGCTTGCAAGGGCCACGATGCCCCTTTTGGTACACATTCATTCGATGCGTACGATCCGTTTCTATGTAACTGGATCTTGTTCGATACCATTGCAATCTACATGGATCGCTCTATTACTAATACGAATTAGGAAGCCCTGACGTCCGTCTTCCTACCAAAAAAAAACCCAAACCTTTTATCCCATTAGATTTGAACATGAATTTAACATCCCAAATCTTTTTCCGACGAAGATATTGTCCGCTTTGGGCCTCGACCCTCACGGTTTTTGCTTGGGGTGCAATTCAAGGTGACTTCCCATAAGGTCACTCATCCTTGTTGTACTCCACACTGAACACGTTTAACTTCAGAGTTCTCACAAGTACTCCTCCATTTCACCCTGAAACGCGTCCTGTCAGTTAAGGTCAGTTTCTTACTTATGAACCATGGATCTCTCCCGTGTTTTGTCGATGTGGGATTTGCCTAAGGTGTTACATACACCCCCCCCCCTTGGGACTCAACGCCCTCGTTGAGGTTTTGCTTGGGGTGCAATTCTGCAATTCAAAGGTGACTTCCCATAAGGTCACTCATCCTTGTTGTACTCCACACTGAGCATGTTTAACTTCGGAGTTCTCACAAGTACTCCTCTATTTCACCTCAAAACACGTCCTGTCAGTTAAGGGCGGTTTCTTACTTATGAACCATGGATCTCTCCCGTGTTTTGTCGGTGTGGGATTTGCCTAATGTGTTACATACATCCCAACCCCCCCTGGTATTTTGGCTTAAATTCTTTGATTCCTCGATACTCAATCAAATCCTCTTTTTTATGTTTATGATTGAATGTACATCTAAAGCCCCATATTTAGGAAACAAAAGAGAAAGAGGAGGAAAGCCAAACTACCACTCATGATTACAGATCATAGGGTTACTGACCTGATCCGTTCCCCGATTTCATGGACCATGACGACGAGGGAAAAAGAAAGAGGTTTTGCTTGGGGTGCAATTCAAGGTGACTTCCCATAAGGTCACTCATCCTTGTTGTACTCCACACTGAGCACGTTTAACTTCGGAGTTCTCACAAGTACTCTTCCATTTCACCCCAAAACGCGTCCTGTCAGTTAAGGTCGGTTTCTTACTTATGAACCATGGATCTCTCCCGTGTTTTGTCGATGTGGGATTTGCCTAAGGTGTTACATACACCCCCCACCCCCTTGGACTCAACGCCTTCGTTAAGGTTTGCCCCACCATCGTTCAAGAGGGACACGGAGAGACTATGATACCACTTGTAACATCTCAACCTTTTCCCGACGAAGATATTGTCCGCTTTGGGCCTCGATCCTCATGGTTTTTGCTGGGGGTGCAATTTAAGGTGACTTCCCATAAGTTCACTCATCCTTGTTGTACTCCACACTGAGCACGTTCAACTTCGGAGTTCTCACAAGAACTCCTCCATTTCACTCCAAAACGCGTTCTGTTAGTTAAGGTCGGTTTCTTAGTTATGAACCATGGATCTCTCTCGTACTTTGTCGATGTAGAATTTGGCTAAAGTGTTACACTGAAGATCTCAAATTCAATTCTTTTTTAATAGTAAGTAAAATTACAATAAATAAACTTATATAACCTCGTAAAAAAACTATCATTTTCTAAGTACACAATTTGGTTTAGTAGCCTGTAACCTTAACTCATCGTAAGCCCTGACGAAGCTGGTTTAAGAACTGGGCTTAACCACTGAATGGGCTTTTAATCGGCACGGTTTCCTCCATGGACTCGACCAAGAAAAATAGACAAACGGCCGAATAGCATGCAGCCCAGGCTTAGTTAAACATGGGCCGACAGTTCCCTTGGAGAGAGTCCAAATAAGTGAATCAACTAGCTCTCTAGTTGGGCCAAGCCTACAAAGCCACCGGGGGGAAATCAAGAGTAGTGTCCACTCCCTTTGTGGATATAGTCCAAAAGCTCAAACTAGAGAGAAACTGACAAAACACAGTACACAATCCACCCAGCTTCAAAGTGCAAACACCCTAACCCCTCTAAGGAACTTGAAACCTTTCAATCGAGATCTATAAAAACATCTACAAATCTTAACTTATATTATGGCTGTTGTAGAGAAAGTTTTTGCCACGTAGGACAAAGAAAGCTCCACAATTTTCCAATTTTCCATGTCATTTTATCATTTTTATATTTAAAAGTTATTAATTACATTAAAATAAAACACCCAGCTTCAAAGTGCAAACACCCTAACCCCTCTAAGGAACTTGAAACCTTTCAATCGAGATCTATAAAAACATCTACAAATCTTAACTTATATTATGGCCGTTGTAGAGAAAGTTTTTGCCACGTAGGACAAAGAAAGCTCCACAATTTTCCAATTTTCCATGTCATTTTATCATTTTTATATTTAAAAGTTATTAATTACATTAAAATAAAACTAAATAAGCATGTATATCAATTATCATGATCAAGATTTGAACCTGTGACCTATGAGTTTAAACTATATATCATTTCAAGTGCTCAACCAGTAGAATAACGTTTATTTGATGTCATTTATCACATCAAAACATGTATATCAATCACCATAACTAAGATTTAATCATGCAACCTATGAGCTCAAACTATAATCATTTAAGTTATTTAACCAATAGAATAAAATCTCTTTGATGCAATTAATCACAACAAGATTAATACTCATGTTATAAAAAATATACAACACATAACATTCTATTTTTATTTAATGGTTGACTTCTATACATTACACAATAAAAACTATCATGAACAAAATTTTGTATTATATTTTTTAGCAATGATAGAAAATCATTAACAACTACAAATAACCTATGTTTAATTTTTAGTTTATAATATGTTTGATATTTGTTCATAATTTTTAAAAAATTATTAAAGAACCAAAAAAGCATGAAATTAGTCGATACAAATTCTAAACTTTTACATAATTTGACATGTGATTTTCTTTTAAAATTTAAAAATAAAAAAGCAAAGAATAACCTTCTTTCGTATTCTAAAATACGAAGAATTTAACATTTTGTTTGTACAAACTATTATAAATATGTGAACCAATACAATTATGTTTCAGTTTGATAGAAAAGAGCTACTAAAAATATCTTAACTATACACTCTTATCGCGTTGTACTAGAAATATTTTTTTTTGTGTTTTTACTAGATTATTAAGAGATAATATCATGTTGTAACAATGATGATTAGCTAAGTCGGAATATAGTCATAATAATTTATTCATGTGACATTTTCCTATACTTTAAGATAATCAAATATATAAACATAGTTCACTCATATGTTAAAATGATAGACGACAATTTCATCTGTTTAAGAATATCACCAATGGTCACCAAATTTTTTTTGTATCTTTTTCAAAATCGAATTATGGTTATATAGCTTAAATATGTATGTGACCAATTGGTAAAAGAAGTTACAAGAAAAGTAATGTGCATATACAAATACTAGTTTTGTACCCGCCCGATGGGCGGCGAGTGTTATCTGTTTGTACTTTTCTTTCTATTATTTGTTATTTTTTTCAATGGTATCAGATTCCTAATTTTTATAATTGTATATTATTGTTACCTATTATCACTGACTTATCTGATATGAGGGCCGTTACATTTACTCTATGCTTTAATGATGATCAACAATAAAGTCAAACGACGTTATAACTTCATCACTGCTTGGACCAACAATTGTCAACTTCATAAGTTGTACATGGTTTAAGCTCGTGTACGCCACCTTACCGAACTCCTATAGAGTTGGTATTTAGACTATGTATTAACGAAGTTTGGCACATGATGCTATACCATATTCTCCAATAGGTGAACCACGGTCTCTAATTCTCTAATCCAAATCGTACGATTCATTTAATGAAAAATAATAACCACCGATTCTTATTTGTCAAAATATATTAACATACAAATAATAGGTATGAATGAAGGTGCATATTACATTCGAGTGTACGCTAGCATTTTCCACCATTATATCAAAGTACAACAAAACTATTCTGCTATGCTTCTTACCTTCAACATTGTACGAATAATATCAAAGCAAACGTTAGTTATTGAGACACTTTGTCTTCACTTCACATTATCATCCAATATTAAATATGTGACTTACTGTAACTGGAATTGTGTGACTTAATACAAACATAAAGGCGCTATGTTGTGCAGTCAGTATAGTAACTGAATTTACAGGACATCGTCATGATATGATCCTGCATTGATTTTATAGGACACCGGTCCGGGTACATCCCACCCTGGTATACATGACATCGGTTAGGGTATGACCCGCAATGGATTTATATGACACCAGTCTAGGTACGATCTGTGGTGGTATGCATGACATCTACTATACTACCCGAGGATTGTATGACTTGGCAAATTAAGATGTAAAATGCAATGAACCTAACCATGTATGTGATTGAATCCTTGTATAAATATTACTTATGATGTGGTTAAGTGATGACTTTCTATGATGTGATATATGAAATGTGCATGTCGATGATGATGGTTTTCTATTGTGTTTTATACAATGATTTAAGATTAGATGATATGATGTTTTGCTATGTTGGGACAGGGGTTACATGTTAATTCCAGTATGATGTGATATTTGATGCATACATGTTTAAACATTGAGTTATCAAGAGGCTGGGTGATGGTCCTTATGTTGTGATGTATGAAATTCTTTGAGTTTGAGATGATGAATGTGATATGGCATGTGGTGATGAATGGATGTTT